AGAGATGAAGTGACTTGTCCACGGTCACACAGTGAGTAAGCGTCTGAGCCTGGAAGCCCATGCTCCTCGTCACCATTCTCCACTGCCTTGCAATATGGACAGATTCCGGGGAGCAAACCAATTCTTGCTGCAAGAGCACTTCAGAGGGAGAAATGAATGCAACCTAAGGTCAGAGTCAGACGGCTCCTCGAGAGACCTTGGAATGTCCCCCACCCATTTTTTCAGATGGGCCAAGTGAGGCCCAGTGAGGGAAGGGACTTACCACAAATTGGCAGCAGAAGCAGATGGTGGGGGGCGGTTTCCTTCCTGCAAGTCCGGGGACTGTCAGCTTTGCCTTTGCACACTGAGCTCGGCACCTGGAAGGTTCTCTGGCTGGGCTTGGAGGGTGTGTGTGTAGCAGAGGTAGGGGAGGTGCGGACTTTACCTTGGGGGAGCGGGTATGTGAATAACTAGCACATCCTTCCTCTGCTCAGCCTGGCTAGAGGACACGGACGGCAGTGTCCAGAGGCCCCTCCAGTTGTCTGGGGAGTTAACTAAAACTATGTTTTTAGTCCTAACAACACACACACACACACACACACACACACACAAGCACACACACACACACTCATATGCAGATACACCCGGCCTGGATCTCAGTCCCTCACATCACACAAAGCACCATCTGCCCCCCTTGGAAGGTCCTCAGACAGAAAGCTTGGCTCTCCTTGTTTTCCAGAAGAAACCAACAAGAGAGGGGAGGGGCCTCATACAAGATCACACTCAGGTTTGGGACAGATTTGAGAGCAAGGCAGCTGCCTGCCAGCATGGGTGCTATTCAGTAGTCCCTGAAACAGCACGCAGGACTCTGCTGAGCCCACTGAGGCCTGGGGCCCAATCCCACCATCCTGGGGCCCCGCCCTTGTCCTTGAATCACTGGTGACCTTGTCTTAGAAACTGGCCATGGAGCCGATGTGGCGGTGGCTTCCTCCTGCGCAGCTGCTCGCTTGGGCTGAACTCACCTCTTGGACGCTCAGTGGTAGCCCCAGACCTCCCTCTGTCTGCCCCTCCGTGGGGCACCCACTCTGTGGCTGGCCCTGTGCTGAGGGTTTACACCTGTTCTTTATCTCACTGAGTCCACGTGAGACCCATTAGGTGGGATTATTATTCCCATTTTATAGGTGACATGACCAAGGCTGGGAAAAGTAAGGCAATTTATCAAAAGCTCTACTGAGAACCGAGATCCAGCCCAGGACCAGGCATCCCCACACACTGAAGCTCATGACCTTCCTTAGACAAGCTCCTCCTGAAGGCCAGGAAGACCTGTGCTCTCCACTAATTCCCTCTGACTGGCTGGAGGTGAGGCTGCCTGGACGTTAGGGATTGGGGTCCCAGTCTCTGCTCAGCCACAGCATACTTTTCCACTTTCCCTGAACGTGAACTTTCTCATTGGTAAAGGGAAAACAATACTCAGCACCTCTCTGAGCCTGACGTGAGGACTGATGGAGATAAGACATGGAATGCCCTTGGTGTGTGCCTTTGTGTGGCTGGAGATATGATTTTTTAATCTGCAGCTGACACTGCCCTCCCCCAAGCCCCACTTTCATCCATGCTGAGCAGGCCTGGACCAGCACCTAAGCTCTTCCTCACCCGCACTGTCTCCTCCGACCCAAGGAAGGGGCACCCTGGGGGCAGGGGCCCAGGGTACCCCCTTTCCTCCTGCCTGGCCCTGCCAGGGAGAGGATAGGCAGAGCCAGATGTTTCACAGATGTTGCCGATGGTGAGCAAAACAAGAGCACAAGAGCACTTGTCTGCAGCCCAGGGTCTGTTGCCGGAGGGCTGGAGAGCACTGAGGGAGAGGATGCAGCTGAGGGGTGAGTCAGGGAGACTTTCTAGAGTAGGATGGCAGAGGGACCTAGGGAGGAGACAGTAGGCAAAGGGAGCAGAGGAGGAAGGCAGAGACATGGGGGTGGGGAGCGCAGAGGAGTTTGGTGAAGGTGGGGGGAGCAGAGAGGAGTGAAACCAGAGAATCAGGGAGCCTGGAGGGGGCTATCCAGGTGGGAGACTCATAGGGGTTACTGCTGACCGGCCCCTCTCACCCCACCCCACCCCCAGGATCCTGACTTCACAGGGAAAGAACTTTAGAACCCCCAGATGCTCCCAGGCCCTCCTGAGCTGCCTTGGGAGGTAATGAGCTCCCTGTCACAGGAGATGCAAGCAGGAACCCGAGAAGGGACGCAAGCACGAGGCAGCAGTTTAGACCAGATGGTCTCTTCCAGGCTGGAGAGTCTCGGAGGCCCTATCTGCCCCAAGCCAGGCCAAGAGGCCAAGAGTGTGAGGGACCTGACCGGCCCACAGGGTTCGGACGAAGTTTGGCACAGGCAGGCCAACGCTGAGTCCCCTCCCACTGGCATCCAACCAAGCGCCGTAACCGTGCCCTTTCCCCTTTCCACCCTTCACAGCCTATTTGCAAGCTGACCCCAGCTGCTCCCAGCCAGGCTGACTGGGCAGTGGTGCAAGGACAGGCTGTTTCTGACACTCCCTGGAACAGGCTGGCTTTGTCCTCTAGCTGAGTGTTCCTGGAAGGACAGCGATCTGGGGTCTGAGACTAGAGGCTCCCTGTCCACTCTGATCAGGGGAGAGCCCGGGCCCGGACCACTTGAGTACAAGCTTTCCACCTCCCCATGACCCTGAGTGATGATGTCACTAAGTTGCCAGCACCACCTCACTTAGTCACCAAAGCCCTGGGAAAGGTGCCACTATGCAAAATTTACAGGTGACAAAGCTGAGGCAAAGAGAGGTGACGTGATTTTTTCAAAGATTGAGAGCTAGTAGTAAGCAATGGAGCCAGGGCCCAGGCCTTTCGCCTCTATGCAGTGCTCTCTCCCTCCGCCTCAGTCTTCCCATCTGCGGAATGGGAAGGGACCTGGACATGAGGACCTCACAGCCCTCATATCCCGCACTGACCAGCCTGGGATTGCCAGACAGAGAGCAGGGGGCCTGCTCCTTCCTCGCATGTTTAAAGAAAGGGGGGGGGGGTGCGTCTGGGTGGCTCAGTCGTTAAGCATCTGCCTTTGGCTCGGGTCATGATCCCGGGGTCCTGGGATCGAGCCCCGCGTCAGGTTCCCTGCTCAGAGGGAAGCTTGCTTCTCCCTCTCCCGCTCCCCCTGCTTGTGTTCCCTCTCTCGCTGTCTCTCTCTGTCAAATAAATAAATAAAATCTTAAAAAAAATAAAAATAAAAATAAATGGGGAACAGCCCGGACACTGTAAAGGTGACGGGACTGAGGCCTCAGCGGGGAGGAGGGCTCTAGCCAAGGTCCCCAGGGAGCCCAGGCAGGGCCCAGGGCAGGAGGATCCAGGCACCTCTCCAGTCTGCTCTCCAGATGCTCAGCACAGCCACAGCCGCTCTGGGCCAAGGGACCCAGTGTGAGTAATGGAAACCAGGCAGCGGGGCTTTCGGAAATGGGAATTCCATCTGTCTGACTTTGCACTACGTGACTTCGGTTTCCATGGCAACTTGGGGGTGGGAAGGTGGAGGGCTTGGCCCGAGGCTAAATCCCTGGACCCTGAAGAATGGGGAAGGTGAGTCTCTTCAGGCCCACAGTGTCTCCTCCAAGGGGAAGACACCACAGAGAGGCCTGGCCAGGCTGGGACTCAAGTCCTAAGCTCCGCTGTCAGCTCAGCCACTAGCCATTTTGGAAGGAACAGGAGTGGTACTGTGGTCCCCTCTGGGCCTGTTTTCCCAAGCTGTCAGGTCCCCAAATCTCAGGCCTGGATGACACCTGTGAGGTGGCCTTGCTCTGAATTAGGGGCACATCTCTGCCCCTCGCTGTCCTTGCAGCCTCACTGAGGTTCTGGGGGCTCTGTGGCAGGCAAGTCCTTCACTGATTACAAGGCCCAACAGGTCCAGTGCCGGACCCAGCTCCACTCCTGGAAGAGCTCACACTCCCAGTGCTAGAAAAAAAGGCTGGAACATGTACTGAGTACCCATTGTATGCCTGGCCCTAGGTTAGGCCTCCAGGGCAAACAGCGAGGGGAGGCACAGAGGAGAGTGGTTACAAAGACCCATGCCCTTTGTGTTTCTAAGTCATGGTGGGCAGACCTGAACCCAGGACCCCAGGCAGGGAACAAGATCCAGGGAGATGGGGCCCAGCCCCTCCTGCACCAATTCCCTCTGGCTGCATGGAAGTCAGCCCAGCTGGGCCAGGCCCCACTCCAGGCAGCGCCCGGGCCCCTGCCCCCCAAACCCTGGCAGGCTCTATGTGGGGGCAGCAGGGGCCAGCTCTGACGTCAGCTTGGCCTGGGTTCCAGGCTCTCTTCTACCTCCTCCAGGCAAGTGGTCCAGGGCCTCCAGGCCTTGCCTAAATTTGCATCTCCAGTTAGGCACGGAGTGGGAAACCTTCCTCTGGGACACAGAGGGAGTCTCTGTAAGCCCTATTCCTTGTCACCTGCCCAGCTCTTCCCTCTGTCCTAACGGCATCCATGGGCCGGCCCATCTGCAACCTGAGAGGCTAGCCTCGTCTGCCTCCACCAACCAGCCCTGTGCCACCTGAAAGTTCCACTGGAATCTCAAGTGTGGTGGGCAGAAAAATGGAGGAATGTAGCCAGCTGGTGGCCAAGCCAGAACTCTGTCCTGTGGCAAGCAGGGGACACGCAATCCAGAGCACAGGCTTGGTAGCCAGCAGGGCTTAGGCAGAACCCTGTCTCTGCCACTTGCCAGCCGTATGACCTTGGACGAGTCACCCACCCTGTCTGTGCTTCACTCTCCCCATCTGTGAAACGGGCATAACCCCCACCTCCCAGGCTGGTGGAGAAGGTGAGAGGTTACACGGAACGAGCACAGCAGAGTGTCTAGCACGGGGAAACAGCCTGTCAGGGAGCCACGAACCCGGGAGATCGTGTGTATGGCTCTGGGATGGGAGGCGGGTGATGGCAAGAGAGGAGAAGCCGCTGGACTGACCCCCACCCCCAGCCCCAGGCCACCTTGGGAAAGCTCAAACCCAGAAACACACAGAAAGGGTCAAGAACAAGAAATAACACAGGCCTTTTATTTGTTCCAGAACTCGACTGCTGTGTGGTCTGAGGGTGCCATGCTCTCCCAGAGCCCCTAAGGGACACCTCTCCTCGGGGAGTGTGGGATTTCTGTGCGAGGTCACACGGCAGCACCCACCCCTCCAGGCTTCATCAGTCCGGAAGGCCCAGCTGCCCGCCACAGGTGCCTGGGACCAGCAAATCCCCTGAAACTGGGAAGTGGTGTCCACCCTCTCAGCAAGGTGGCTTTTTCACAAGGCGTTGGTTAAAATATTGCACTTGTAAATTAGGAAAACCGATGAGGCAAAAATTTCCTATTACAGGACGACATGCCAAGCATCCGACTACTGTTTAAATAAATAAAACTCAAGGCACGGGGTCTGAGCTGCAAGCCCCAGCGGCCCCCCTGGAGAGCCCTGGAGTCCACAGCTAGGCCACCTGCCCCATCAGCCAGTTCTTTCAGGAACTTGGTCAATGCTGAGCCCACGCAGCACGGAACAGCAGCTCCGGATCTGGCTCAGCCAGGGCCCCTGACCTGCCAGGGCCCTCGGGCCCCCTCGTACCGGGGCAGTGTGGACCCACCGGGGCCAGTCCTTCTACTCCTTCAGTGGCCTGGGCCTCCCTTGGTCCAGGCCTCTCATCCGAATGTCCGTTTGTCCGTCCGGAGACGCAGCCTCCGGGGGCTTGCTTGCCCCCTCCGTCGCAGAGGGAGAAAGGCAGGTGGGAAGGGGGCCCAGCCCGCCTGGTGTGAACACGGAGCTCTACCCTGTCAGCCCCTAAAGTGGGGGACTCATCTTCTTCTGGTTAATGAGGTCCAGGTAGAGGTCAGAGCGGAGGAAGCGTGGATAGGAGTCCTTTTCCATGAGCCCGAAGATGCGCTTCTGCGCCAGATCGAAGCAGCCACGGGTGACACTCTGCAGGTTGTCCTTGGTGTGCTCCCGTGTGTAGGAGTCCAGGTTGACCTGTGGGGGCAGAGAGCAATATGGTCAGGTCCACTGGCACGTAGGCGCGGGGGGCCAGGAATGGGACCTCCCCAGCCCTTCACCTCCAAGCCCCTCTGTTCCATGTCTTAAGTCTCAGAGTGGAGACCCTCGGGGCAGCGATTCAATTCCTGGCTCGGTCACTCACTGTAGGGCAGGTAGTTTATAGGGCCTGGACATACCACTTCTAAGGTCAGACTGCCTGGTTGGAATTCCAGCAGTGCCATACCTAGGCATGTGACCCCAAGCAGATCACATAAGTGCTCCCTTGTCTTATCTGTAGGCAAGGAATGATGGTACACTCCTCAAAGAGTGCCAGAGACTAAACAAGGTCATCCATGGTAAAGAGATATGGAGTCCATCAACAGATCACCCACTGCGAGTCTGCACACAGTGCCTGGCCCTCAGTAAGCACTCACTAGATATTAGCGACTCTGAGCTAGGCTCTCTGAGACTGTCTCCTCATTCTTCAAATGACGATAATATTAAACCCATTTTACAGGTTGTCGTGAGGATCAAATAAAAGAGTGCATCCATAAAGGGCTTGGCGCATGCCTGGCACACAGTGCCTCGACAGTGCCCATTTCTGTTACCGACAGAATTCTGTTCTTCCCAGGGCCCCAGCTTGCTTCCTCTCCACCCTGGACACATGGTCCCCAAGAGTCACTCTGGCCTCTCCCCTTCCTGAGCTCCTTGCTGAGGCTGCCAGGTACCTGTGATCACTGAGAGGCCACTGGGGATGGGGATGGGGATGGGGCTGAGGCACCCGAGGGCCCAGCCTGAGGCCTTACCTCCTTGCACGCCTGGATCGCGATGTACTCAGCGAAGATCTTCTTGGCCTTGGCCGCCATCTTGGACTGTGACTTGACCTTCTTGAAGTCCTCACATGCCAGCCAGAATTCCAGGTTCTCCTCACTAAACTCGGTGCGAAGGAAGGCCTGGAACACTGCTAAGCCATCTGTGACGAGAAGCCCAGGCCCTGGGGTGAGAGACAGAACCAGCCCCTTCTGCCTTCTGGACCCCACCCCCCAGCCTCCCCTCCAGGGGCCTTTGAGGGTGCAGATGTTGGGAGCTTAGTAAGATAACCACTTCGAAGAGCCAGGAGCCCCCGGGATGTGGACCCACCCCTGCCACTGCCTCTCTATAGGCCTTGGCCATGTCTCTCCCGTCTGTGCCTCAGTTCCCTCATCTGTAAAATGGGGGTCATGAGTCTACCTCCTGGAGCCCTGTGAGGATCGGAGGGGATCCTGCCCATGAGATGCGGGGCACATGTGGCCCAGTGGAAGCCCTCGGTACGTGGAAATGTTTATTGTTATTCTGGGAATCTGGGTGTGAGCACACAGGTCCCGCGGCCTCTTGCGGGCAGTGCCAGCTCCCACGGACAGGGAGGGGCTGGCCGAAGCCAGCTCCAAGGCCAGCCCAAGGGCCTCGGCCTCTCTCAATGGCAGGGACGCCTGACGGGACCCAGGAAAGAGGAAAAGGCCACCTCTCTGGGAGCAGACACGCTGTCTGGGTCTGGGAGAGGAGGAAAGGGAAGGGGGGAGATCACGCAGGGAGGGGAGCAGGCCGGCTGGGCCCCACTTACATTTGTGAAGCAGCAGCTTCTCCAAGGACTCGCCCCACTTGAGGGCTTCCTCTGAGGTGGGCCTGAGGGGCGAGGGAAGGGGCAGAGTGAGGCACCGTGAGGTTCGGGGAAATGGGGGTGGTCTCTGTTAGCTGTCCTTGGCCCGGGCAGTGGCCGAGCCCAGTTGGGGAGCCCAGCCCCTCTCTTTGGGCCCCATCGCCTCTGCCCCTGCCCGGCCGGCCTTCCCAGAGCGTCTGTCCCCTGTGAGGGCTTGCCAGGTACCAGGCTCCGTCAAAGACAGCCTCCGTCCAACCCAGAGCTGGATCAAGGCCAAAAAACACCTTTCCATTTGACCCCACCGCCAGCCCTGCTCCCCTGGGGACCAGTGAGTGCCTGAGGGGCCCCAGGGGTGCAGAGAGGACCTACTTGAATGACTTCACCATTTTGTCTGCCTTGCCCGCTGGTTGGGCCCCAGGGGACTCGTTCCTTCGCCTGAAGATGCCCAGCTTGTTCTTCATGTCCTTGGCTCTGGGGGCAGAAGCAGAGAAGGGGGTCGGTGAGCCTGGCGCGCTCGGCCCCTGCACATCCAGGGTGGGAAGGGTGCGCGCCGGGGGCAGAGGCACCTACTCCTTCATCGTGTGCCGCCTCTGTAGGTTCCCATTGCGTGTGAGGTACATGCCTCGGAGCATCTCTGTAGGGCCCCCCACGTTGGGGCCCGGGATGGTCTGCAGGGAGCACCCCCCAGGTTCCTTCTTCTCCCACTGCGTCCCGGGGCGGCACGGGCTGCAGCCGAGCGTTCGTTCGCCGGGATCCCAGCCGGATGACTGGGGCTCCCAGGCACAGGCCGGGCTGGGACTCAGACAGGAGGAGCCAGGAAATGGGAGGGACCAGCACGGGGAGCGGAAAAAAAAAAAAAAAAATCCCTCCTGGCCAACCCCGAGAGGGAGCCCGTGAAAGGGGCATGTGTCTGCAAGGGGCGGCCTCTGGGGCCCGACCGAGTTATTTGCAACCGGCCTCCCCGTTGCCATGGCAGCGCCGGGGCGAAGGAGAAAACAAGTCAGCAAATTGCTGGGGGGGGGGGTGGTGGCGCTGCCCACCAGGGCGGCAGGCCTGGCTATTTTTAGCCAGGAAGCATTTTTAGCCTTGCCACTCCCCCAGGAGGCAGCCGATTTTGGGACTGGGCAAAGCTGCTGGCAAGAAAGGGGTTAAAGGCCCCGTGCTCACGTTTGCCCCCCTTGTCGCTGGACCCCCTACCCTGGGCACCTCCGGGATAGCTCCTGGCAGCCGGCCTCATCCTCAGTCACTGGCTTTGGATACAAGCATCCATGAATGTGCAAGAGGGTGTCCCACAAGTCTGAGTATGGTTTCAAGCTCAAATAACTCCAGGAGTACAAGTCCTATAAACCTTCCAAAATGTCATTTGGAATTTTCATTATGTAATTTTTTAATGCACATTGAGTGTTGTGACTTTTGAACGATACATTTTTTTTTTTTATTTTAAGTTTTGGTCTCTGTTCTGATCAACTATAAAAAAATGCTGACTGAAACCAAAAGTTAAAAAATGCGTTGGCAAAATCACAAAGCTAAATAAGTGTAAAAGAAATTTAAATAATTCAACTTTCAAATGGGTGTTTGTTAAGTTTGTAGTATTTATACTTCTGAAGTTACTCGAGCTTAAAGTGGCATTAAGACCTCCGGGACACCCTGGGTGAGTCGGTGAGGGAGGTGGTACCCCGTGGAGGTTAAGTGTGAGGCTCTGGAGCCGCACAGCCTCGGGTTCAAATCCCAGCTCCAGCAGTTGCCAACTGTCAAATCCCAGCTCCAGCAGTTGCCAACTGTGTGCTCTTGGTCAAGTTACCTCACCTCTCAGAATGTCAAATTTTCCCATCCATCAAACAGGGATGATAACAGTACCTACCATCTGCCGGGGTTATTGTGAGAAGCAAGGAGAAAATGCGCATAAAGTTTTAGCACATTGCCTGGGGCAAAAGTGCTCAGGAGAGAGAGAGAAAGAGAGAAGGGAGTGGCGGCCCACTGTGTCCTGAGGGTCTGGGGCAGCTGCCCAGGGATGGGGACCCTGCTCTAGCAAGTCCAAGCCAAGGAACTAAGGCCAAGGAGTCCAGGGATTGGCAGTCTTCTGGGTGAGGACTGGGGCCCTCAGAATGCCCGGGGGTGACTAGGCTGCCAGCATTTGATTTCCTGGGACATAGTGGTCTGTCTGACAGGATGGCAGAGCTCAGACGGGCCCCGTGTGTTCCCACGTGCGTCCAGAAGGCAAAACAGGGACCCACAAGAGGAAGTTAAAGGAGCACTTTCCTTCAGTCAGAGCCATGAAGAAATGGAATGGGTGGCCTGTGGGGAATGGACTCTCATCACTGGGGGCTCAAAGGCTACACAGCAGGGCTGCTGTGAACCTCCTTCAGAATGCTCTACACTGAGCTTCAATATAACAGGCTCTGAAGAAAAAAAAAATATATATATATATATATTTATATTTATATCATTAGAGCCAGCACACCAGGTATCCGATCCCCACTCCGCCACGCACTTGCTGTGTAACCTGAGACGCGTAACTTCTTTTTGCTTCAGTTTACTCATTGGTCAAATAGGGTACGTAAGAAGAAAAAGGAAATGTAAAATAAAAACAATGGTAAAGATTAAATTAGATAATATATGGAATGCGCATAGAACAGTGCCTGGCACAATAAATATTAGTTATTTTTATTGTTATCCCAGATTCTAAGAGTCCTCGATGAAGCTTTTAAGAATGTGAGCTTCAGACATTCAAAAAGCAGCACCCACCCTGAAGGGAGGCTCGAGTTAGGACCAGCCCGGGACAGCTCCAGCACCCCCAGATGCCCAACCTCCATGGCCTTCCACTGCCGCACCCCTGGGAGTGACACCCCCAGCAGCTATGCTGATACCTGGACCAAAGGGCTCATTTTGATGCCTGTTACCTTCCCTAGAAGGTGGGATTGCTCCTGGCTGCAGAGTGAGAGAAGCCTACAGTTGCCACAGGAACCTGGAGAGGCCCGAGGAGCTGGGGGAGAAAGAGTTTCTAGAGTAGTGGACGCTAGCCAAAGTAGAGGCCAGGAAAATGGCTATAGGAGGCATCTGGGAAGACCCTGTCCTCCCCGCCCAGGCCCAACTGGTAAATAATGGTGGGCACTACACAAACTGGAGGGGAGGAGGAGCTCCCTCTGGGGGCCACCGTGTGCCCCACCGCCTCCTCTCCATCCCGCCCCTAGTCTCCAGGTCCTTGGGCCCAGGTGTACGTGTACAAGGAGCCTAAGGAGAACCCACACACACCCTCTTCATTTAACTGGCACCTCCAAACCTCCAAATGGATGTGTAAGGTCCCAGAAGGCTGGAGAGTATGGGATACGCTACCTGGACCACCAGCGCCACCTCCTGGCAATGCCCGAGACTGCTAGCCTTCAAGAGCTCAAGAGGAGAAAGGGGGAATCCCCTGTCCTTTCTTAGGGAGCAAAGCACTTGTCAAGGTCACTCAGCCACTGCCTGGCTCAGAGGCTGGGCCCGGGCCAGGACAACCCGGCTGGTTGCCTCTGCTTGGTTCCCTGGGGCTTCCAGTACTGAATCAGCATGTTGCCTCACTCTGCATGAATGGTGAGGGCAGTGCCAGATGCTCAGGACCCTAGCGACCCCACCCTGGGGCCACTGCCAAGTCTTAAGATCTTGTTGTTCACTGGTGTCTGTCTAGGGCAGGAAGGGCCACAGCCTCTCCTCCCCACCTGTACCCCTGGAGGAGAGACAAGCCCGAGGACAGAGGAAGAGGAGGGGGTTGGGGAGCCTCCCTGACTGCAAGGTTGAGGACCAGGGATCTTTCCAACGTACAGGTTTTTGCCCTTTCTCTTCCGAGAGGCTTCATCATCATCCCCAACCGTGTCAGCCCCACTCATCTGTGGAAGAAAGATAGACACGTTATAGTCCGGGCATCAAAGGCTGCTTGCTGCCTGCGCAAAGAGAGGCTCAGGGATCCAACAGCGCCTGCAAACTGTCCCACCCCTCTCCTGCAAAGCTCCTACCCCTCAGGTGAGGGACAGGGAAGCCCATTACTGGGAACAGTCTGTCCATGAAGTGTGGTTGGCTTGGCAGATCCTCCAGCCAAAGGGGTCTCTTCCCAGTGCAACTAGGAGCCCGGTTTGCGAGGGAGAAGCCTAAGACACAGCACTGATGGCAGAACCAGAGACAGCACTCGGTATTTGCAGGCAGGAGAGCAGACTGGAGAGCAGGGCTATGGGAGGGCTTCTGCAGTGGGACTCGGCCAGTCATGGTCCCTTGGTGAGCCTCAATTTCTTAATTTCAAAATCGAGATCCTGGGATGCCTGGGTGGCTCAGTCGGTGAAGCGTCTGCCTTCGGCTCAGGTCATGATCCCAGGGTCCTGGGATCGAGTCCTGCACCGAGTCCCGCATCGGGCTGCTTGTTCAGTGGAGAGCCTGCTCCTCCCTCTGCCTCTGACTGCCACTCACCCTGCTTGTGCTCGCTGTCTCTCTCTCTCTGACAAATAAATAAATAAAATCTTTGGGGAAAAAAATCAAGATCCTAATGACTAACTCAGGCTTCTGAGGTTTGGCAGAGACCTGGGATTGGTCAGCAGGGTGGACAGTGAATTGTCACACAAGCCTGAGAGAAGCTCTCCTGCCTTAAAGCCTTCCATGGCTCCCCAGTGCCCCCAGGGTAACATCCAAACTCCGTGACATGATATACAGGGTCTGCCGTCTTAGGAGCTGGGCAGAAAGTTGCATTTGAACATCAGTTACAAGTCCTTCAGTTATCTCTCCGGTCCAGCTCCCTCCTTGACCCTGCCCTCCAGCCAAATGGAATGTCTTTGCTTGAACTGCCGCCTCACCTCAGGCCTTTACCTGGGCTACACCTTCCATGGGGGATGCTTTTGTGACCCTCCTGTCTCCCTTTACTCCCAAGACCCAGCCTCAGGAAAGACCAGACCTTGGGTAAGCCACTTAAATGCCTCCTCACCTAGGGAGCACTCCCAGACCCCTAGACCAAGCCTGTGCCCCCTTCACCGCTTTTGAGGTCCCTACCACATTCGAAAGGGCTTTTTCTAAATCTGTCCCCTCTACTTGGCTGTGAGTTCTCATGAGCGAGGCCTCTGTCTGCCTGGGTCACCCTCACGGGGTGAGCACCTCACGATTAGGAGCTGAACAAATATTGTCGAATGAATGAATGCGTCAAGAGAGGGAAAGCAGACTGGAAACAATGAGTCTTGAGGCCCTCACTGACTGAGCCCCAGCTTGCAGCTGGTATGCCCCACCCCCTCCGCTCCACTGAGGCCCACAGGCTGCACCTCCCCCACCCCTCTCTCCCTTCCCTTTGCCGGCGCGGTGTCCCCTTCCCGGAATGCCTCTCTCGTCTTCCCCCCAGTCTGCTACTCCTCTTCTCCAGACCACTCCAGATCCCCACCATCTCAGGGCTGTCCTGTTTCCTTGCCCTGCTGGTCATTGTCCATCTTCTTCCAGAAGAAACCCAAGGCCCCAACAGTGCCACCCCGGGGCAGGAGCCCAGGAAATGCTCTGAGGATGGGAGAGGAGCTAGAGCTCAGAGTAGGCTGGGCATGGACATTATGTCCCAAGACAAGACAGAATGCCACCCAGCGTGCATCTCAGCTCTGATTCCTCCTGAGTCCCACCCTGGGCCTCAATTTCCTCATCCGTAAAATAAAGATGGGCTAATTCTTTTTTTTTTTTTTTAAGATTTTTAATTTATTTATTTTTTTAACAGAGAGAGAGAGACAGCGAGAGAGGGAACACAAGCAGGGGGAGCGGGAGAGGGAGAAGCAGGCTTCCCGCTGAGCAGGGAGCCCGACGTGGAACTCGATCCCAGGACCCTGGGATCATGACCCGAGCCGAAGGCAGACGCTTAACGACTGAGCCACCCAGGCGAAGATGGGCTAATTCTTAAAGCGCTCTTAATTCTGGAAAGAAAAGTGGCCTTATTCCAGATATAGCCAACAGGGAGAGCTACTAGCCTCAGTGGAATACACACCCATGGATGGATGGATGGATGGATGGATGGATGGATGGATGGACAGAGGGATGGATGGATGAATTCATACTATAGACCAGACCCCGGAATGGGCATTATCCAGATACTATCATTAATCTTCAGAGTAAGTCCATAAAGCAAACAGAGGTTCAGAGAAGTTAAGCCACTTGCCCAAAGATACCCAGAGTTGAAGTGACTGGGGGAATCTAGGTCCGTGTGCACTTAAGGCCCGTGTTTCTCCACCAGAGGATGCTGCTATTCAAATGTAAGGATGGGGCACGTTTTGAATGTTTTCAGTAAAAGTCTCGGGGGAAGTGCCACCTCCTTCCTGAGAAGACTGCCCCTCCAGGGTTGTAAAAACGTGTGTGTACGTGCACACACAGGCACACACCCATCTATGGTGTGTGATTCCAGAGCACGGGTTTGCAGGAAGCAGTTACTGATCCTATTTGCCCTGACTCTGGAGGAGTTTCTTAGCCTCTCAGCTTCAGCTTCGTTAGCTACAGCATAGGTGGGGTGACAGCCCCCTGGCAGTTGGAAGAGTCACCACGATCAAGCCTCAGCCCCTGTGGCCCAATGCTGGGGCCCTCTGTAATGAGGGCTGCCCAGGGTCATTGCTCAGTGAGTCTCCCCTGGGCTCCCTGAGCTGGGCCTGTCGCACACACTGGCTGCGGTCACACTGGCCGGGCTAGGCAGTGCCCGGGAGCCCCCACCCGTGGGAAAGGGCCACGGGCGCTGGGCTTCCTCCCATTCTAACCTCAGCTTCCGTACTTTATCGAGCCCACACAATGGGCCTGGGGGCCACTCCCGCCCCGCCCGCACCCCTCAGCCTCTGCACTGCTGGGAAATGGGCTCTTCCTTCCACTGCTGGGAGGGGGTCATCTTCGGCAGGGACCAACCCACACCAATCGGCCTGATAGCCCAGTGCCTGGGCGGTGACCCCCAGAGCAGCTGGGGAAACCCAGGCACTAGTGGGGGTGGCTGCAGGCTAGACAGAGAAGAAACTGAGCCAGAAAGTCAGGGTTCTGATTCCCAGCCCCACAGTGGCCCCCAGGGCTCCCCTCTTCAGGAGGGCCTGCCTGGTACCCAGCGCACAAAAGGCCTCTCCTTCCCATCTGCTCCCCACTGCCTTGCTCCTCTCCAGGGCCCTCCCTGCTGAAAGGGAAATGGAGGGGGGCCCAGAGCCACCAGGCAGGAATCCCTGGGGCCCGCCCGGCCACTCCAGGCACTGGGAGCTCCCCGCCCCTTGGAATAATAACTATAATTTTTACTGTAATTATCACTATAATAGTAGTTGTGGTTAAGGGTGTCGATTCTAAATTGCCTGGATTGGGATCCTACCTCAGTGACTTAGGAGCTAATTGACTCTAGCCGAGTTACAACCTCTCTCTGTGCCTCGGCCTCTGTAGCTGTAAAGTGGGGATAATAACCGGACCTACCTCATCGGGGCGTGGTGTGGATTATCTAAGTGAACACACAGGAAGAGCTTAGCTCGGTACCTGTACCCCCAGCGCCCCACCACTGCCGGCTATGGTGGTTATCGCGAGTGTTTGCTGAGCACTCTCTACGTGCCAGGTCTGGAGTGAAGGGCTTTCATGTTTTTACCTCGTTCCATCTTCACGACCGTTCTGAGAACGATTTGTTGTCCCCTGCCTCAGTTCACAGTGGAGGAAACTGAGGCACAGGCTGGCAAGTGGCAGCGAATTTCAGGCCTGGCTCCAGAGCCCACCCACGACTGAGGGCTCTTGTGAGCAGGGTCCTCACCTGGTTCCTCTCACTGGTCTGGACCCAATTTCTGGGGCTACCTGGCCATGCCTGGCGCCAGCACCCCACACCCTGTCCCCCTGTGACCTGGCCCAGCCTAGCGGGCCCCATACAACCTTGTGGAAACACTGGATCTGAATGCTACACGTATTCGTTTGGACACAGGAAATAATTTTTCTTTAAGTGCTTTGTAAACGGTAGGCTCGAAGGTACTGTCACATCTTGGAGCTGGAAGGCATCTTAAGGGGCCCTCTGGTCTGACCTCCTGCCTAGGCGGGAAGCTTGGTGTGGCAGACAGCCTCTGCCCAAGCCAGTCCGCGCAGGAGGGAGGGAGAAGGAAGGATGGCCAGGGAGGGGTCGCAGCCTCTGTCTCCTCACTGTCAAAGAACGACCCACGACCCTGGGCCACTCCAGGCCAGGCTGAGGCGGAAGTGAAGGGCAGCAACCTGGGCCCAGACACAGATTCGCTCAGGGCTTCCCAGGCTCCCAGGAAAAGGGCAGATAGAGGCCCATGGTTCTGCCCGCGGGGCCACCAGGGGGCAGCCAGCAAGGCAGGGGTCTGGCAGCAGAGGGCACTGTGAGACCACTCAACTCGGCACTGGGAGCCAGGCGCAGGGGATGACCGAGGGGTTAACCTTGGTGGGGAGGTGGTCTCCTCTCTCTCGACCTCTGGCAGCCCATCTGTAAAATGACCATGACGAGTGGGCCGTCTCTCAGATCTGTCTACTCCCAGTAGAAAGAAATCACTCAGCACACAAGAGGGCAAAGGGTGACAAGTAAGGGTCACCCCTGTGACAGGCAGCATGCCCTCTGGGCAGCCTCAGCTTAGCCACACAGCCCCGGGGCCGCACCAGCCCTTGTCTGGCCCTCCTGGGCTTCACATCATGACAGGACCCCTGCCATGGGCGCAGAGCTTTCCACATAGTGCAATCTTCTCGAATCCCTGGGACACCTCCAAGGAAGACTTAGCACTCCCACTTTATAAGAGAAAACGAAAGCTCAAAGAAAGACCTAACTTGGCCAGGGTCTCGGGACCAGGAAGGAGGAGGCAGAGCTGAGATTTGAACTCAGGTCTGTCTGACTTTGCCCCTCTCCTCTTCACCTCCTGCCTGGCATAGCCTGGAAACAGTGGCCTGGAGGCAGCAGCTGATCCTCCCAAGAAAGCCAGGCCCATGCCAGGCCCAAGCCAGGAAGATGGAAGTCACAGGGGAACCCACCACCACCCCCTGCCTGCTGCCAGCCCCCCCCCCACCCTGTCCCTCACCAGCCTGAGGTGAGGTGAGCAGGGTCTGGGGTCGAGCCAGCGAGGACTGGGCAGGGTGAGGCCACGGCCCAGCTCTAGCAGCACTTGCTGTGTGGCCTGGGACAAACGCTTCTCGCTCAGCCTCAGGCTCCCCGCTGGAGGACGAGGAGAAGGGGTCCCACCCTGCAGCAGTGTCGTGCAGGCCAGGAAAGGGAGCTGGGGGCACTTCGTGAATGTTGGCATAACGGCCACCACGTTTGCCACTGCTCTCCTTCTCCTTGTCGTCATCAACATGATTCCCATTTATGGAGCACCCACTGAGTGCTGAGTGCCAGCACTGCTCGAAACACTCCACCCGCACTGGGCTACTTAATCTTCCCCGCAGTCCTACAAAGGAGGTATTATTACCATTCTCGTTTTGCTGATGAAGAAACTGAGGCTCAGAGAAAGGGCAGGGACTTGCCCCAGGCCCACTGGCGGTGAGGGATGGCGCAGGACCAGGGGCTTGCCCAGCCTCGACCTCCAGGGCAGGGTTCTTAACGAAGCCGGCTGGCTGCAGTGAGCAGGATACACATGATGATGGACTGGCAGCCGGGTCCGTGGAAACCGTGGGAGCACAGCCTCTGAGGCCCCTGCCAACTCTGTCGCTCAAGCCCAAGAAAGGAAACAAGAGGCCACAAGAGGGTGGGGGATACCAGTGAAAACCCTGGGCTCCCAAAGGAGGAAGCTGAAACATGACAGAGCTGGGCCAGGCCTGCCGGACTCCTGCGCAGGAGTATCTGCCCCAAAATAGGAGCTCGGATCAGCTGGTTGGGGGGGACTAGAAGGGTGTGCGTGTAGGTATGTGGCTGTATCTGTATATAGATATTTGATTTACATACAGGGCAGAACTTGGGAGGGTCTTGGGGAGGGGGTGTGGAAACAGGGTAGTGAGTCCTGGGATCTCGGTGCCCACCGGAGAGGAGTGGCCGGGCCTGGTCTGAGTGAGCCCGAGGCCTCACCCGGGTAGGGCAGAGTTCTAGACTCTCTCTAGCTGCATCAAGAAATGGCCAAAGATGGTGATATTCCAACTATGGGGAACAGCGCAGTCCCTGGGGGGCTTGTCTGAAATGCAGGGTCTGGGCACCATATGCTAGAAATTCTGATTCCAGGAGCCTGGGGCTGGAGACTTAGAAATCTATGTATGAATAACCTCCTTCTAGTCATTACGGAGCACATCAAAGTTAGAACCACATGTGTCTGTGGATGAGGAAACTGAGTCCAGTCCCAGTTCCTTTGGGATTCGGTTCCAATTTCCGGGCCCAAAGTTTAAGGCCTTTTCTGGGGGGTCCCAGCCTGCCCTTCCAGTCCGACCACCTTGCAGGAGTGTCCTCCCAAGTGTGAAGTCAGCCTTCTCACTACTGCCTGAGGCGAAGAAGGCTTCCAAAGCCATGACCCAACTTAGTGGGGAAATGCTGGCATCCATTAGTCATGTCTGCCCTGGGTGTGGAGGCAGGAAGGGCAGCATGAGTACCATGCGTCTGCCATCCCTGCATTTTAGGAATCCCCTGCTCTAGCCAAACTGGCTTCTACAGACAGTGTGCCCAGGTCATGTCCACTTTCACAGAATGCCTGTCTCATCCTCTCTTCATTCTAAACCTGCTCAATCATCAAGGCCAAGCCAAAGGGCATCTTGCTCCAGAAGCTTTCTCTGATGGCCTAAGGCCCTGAGGTCTTTCCTCCATGAACTCCCAGGTCCCTGCCCCCCGCCCCCCCATGCACCTGGCCTCACAATGTTGTCATAACAACACCTTGCACCGCGCTGGCTGCTAGCATCTCAAAAGCATCTACCAGTTCCTGCACTAAGGTCACCAGGCAACAGGCTCTTCTGGTTCATCCTCAACCACCCTGCGACATGAGTGTAATTCATCTCTGCTTTTCACAGAAGGACACTAAGGCTCAGAGGAGCTGAGTGGCTCACCCAAGGCCACACAGTGAGTGAGAGACCGAGCCCAGGCTCAAGCTGGCTAGTGGGCTTCAAGGATGTGATGCAGTCTTTTCACTGTGGGGCCAGCTTCCGCACCCACACAGATAGCTCATTGCTCACGGGCTGAGAGCAGCCTCACACATTCCTGCGGCCCCGCAGTGGCACAGAGCATAGGGCCTGGCACACGGCAGGAAATCAATAAACACTTATTCGTCTATTTATAAATATTTGCGAGAGGCAAATAGCATGGTAGGGATGCACTCCAGCCCTGGAGCCAGAATCTAATTCTGGGGCAGACATTTATAAACCGTGTGGCCTGGGTTAAGTGAGATAACCCCTGAGGGCCTCAGTCCCCTCATCTGTAGGGAGCTACAACAATATCTCCTTCATGAGGCTGTCATGAGCATTGGTGAGGTCAGCTAAACTGCTTAGAATTGGGGCGCCTGGGGGCTCAGCTGGTTAAGCATCAAACTCTTGATCTTGGCTCAGGTCATGATCTCATGAGATCGAGCCTCGCTTGGGGCTCTGTGCTGGGCGTGGAGCCTGCTTAAGATCCTCTCTTTCCCTCTCCCTCTGCCCCTGCCCCCCAGTCGTGCACTCACTCTCTCTCTCTCTCAAGAAATAAAAAAAAACAACAAAAACTAAATTGCATAGCATAATGCCAACACAGGGTAGACGTGTGCTGTCATTGCTGGCTGATGGATTTCTAGTCTGGCTAGGCCTGGACCGAGTCTAAACTGTTCTACTATAGGAGACAGTCCTCCAGCGAATGTCTCAGACCTTTTGGAACCAAATGCATGATGTCCTAGGGGAGGCCACACCTGCTCTACTTCGGTGGGGACCCCCAGGCCAAAGGAGCTGTAAGAACACAGCATTTGGAGTCAGAGTCACGGGCTCAAGTGCAGGCGCAGGCTTCTTGGTCCCTCCGTGCCTCAGCTGTATCCTCTGTCAAATGGGTAGAAGGCTCAAGGCTTAGAGAGGCGCCGCGGTGGGACCGCGCTGCTCGTCCCCTGCAGCTCCTGGACGCCCCACCCCGCTCCCTACCACCCCATTTATTACCCACTCCCCCCCCCACCCTCAGCCTTCTTACCTTCCTGTGTCCCGTGAAAAAGAGGGAAAGGTGGTGCATGGAGCCACCGTTGCGGCCCAGTTCCTTCTTGAGGGTGCGGGGCGAAGGCATGGCCCAGGCAGACGTGGTGCCCTCCCCGTCCGAGCAGTGCAAGGTGGTGTCGGAGGCAAAGCAGGGCCCGCGGGCTTCCTGCAGCAGGCTGCCCTCGCTGTGCGTCCGCCGCCGCAGGGAGTTCTGCACCCGCAGGGAGAGGCCGCCCTCAGCCTGGCCCGCCTCGATCATGCTGCTGCGCTTGGCCTCACGGCGCTCTCCGTAGCTGTCATCACTCGTGTCTTCCTCTCCTTCCTCGTCCTCCTCGCCCTCCTCGCCCTCCTCAGCCTCTTCCTCGTCCTCCTCATCGGCCAGGCTGCCCCCCTCCGCCCGGGCTTTCTGGCTGTAAGCACTGTCCAGCCGGACCTCGGGGATCACAAAGCTTGGCCTGGAGGCCACAGGCAGGTCCCTGGTGGCTGCTGGGGGTTCCCCAGAGCTTGCAGTCTCCTTAGCTGGCTGGGGGACCTGGCCGGGGGGCAGGTCTTGACAGGGCGCAAGCTCCTGAGCAGGGGTGTCCTGGATGACAGGGAGGTCTTGGCTGGGAGGGGGCTCTTGCCTAGGAGGAAGGTCCCGGCAGGGAGGGAGGGCCGGGGCTGCAGGGGGGTCCTGGCATGGTGGGGCGTCCTTGCTTGGCTGGGGCTCTGGGCCTGGAGGAGGTTGCTTGCAGGAAGCTGAGTCTTTGCTGGATGGTGACTCTTGGCCAGGAGAGGGGTCCTTGTTGGGTGACAAGTCTTGTTCTGAAGGAGGCTCCTGGCCCGGAGAGGGGTCCTTGCTGGGTGGGGGGTCCTCAGCACCCAGCCCCTTCCCTTCCTCCAAGGGCATCTCTCGCTTCTCATCCGCCTCTGGCTCAAACATCTGGGAAACAAGAAGCAAACAAGAAAAGTTCAGAACAGAAAGCTCTGAGATGCCAGGCACTGCACAGGAGTCAACCTCACAGAGACTGAAATAAATCAGGCAATGGCCCGAACCACACACCTGACACCCTGCAGTCTGAAAGCTAAAGCGGGAGTTGGAAACAGAAAGCCCCTTTGGCTTCACTGCACATGGGTTCCCATCCTTGTCTTCTTGCTTCAATCTTCTGTTTGCTCCATCAAAAGCGTGGCTGGTCATTTAGGGGAGGAAGGAGAGGTAACCCGCTACTATCTGGATCCTATTGCCTGCCAGGGCTGCGCCACATTAAATACTCCTCTTGTGTTCTTGTGTGATCTTCCCGACAGCCCTCTGAGGGAAGTGTCATGGTGTCTCCGAGTAAAGGAGGGGCCAGGCAGTCTCCTCCTTCATGGACCAGAACCAAGCCAAGTCCCAAGCCAGAGCAATCACAGAGTGATAGAACCTTGGACCTCGCCAAAGGGTATCTTCTACCTGAACCAAAGTTTTAAAAAAATCCCATTCAAACAAGAACTTGCTCTGAATATTTAAGTATCTCTTTGAAACTAGCAAACTGGAACGAAACCAGAACTTCAAAATATTGCCCACCTTGGACGACACAGATGTCATGGGCACACGGGGACCTCCCTGAGGGATCATCCACCCGCTGTTTTTTTAAACTGTGTTTGGAGGAACCCCAGGAGCTCCGCACAGAAAAAGAAAGCTTTTCCTGCCTGACACACAACCCTCAAACCCTCGGCGTTTTTGCTGGATTCCTACAGATTTCATTTGCAAAGGGGAAAAAAATAGTGCCCTTGATGAAGTCTGAAAGCCAGCTTGCTCGCAGGAAGACTGCGAAGGGTCAGGAGCATCCACGGGGCTGCAACTGCACGGGGGTGGGGTGGGGTGGGGTGGGAAGCAGGTCTCAAGCCTGGGCCGCACCCCTCATCACACCCAAGGACTCGCAATGCTGGAGCGAGAACTATCTGGGGTCTGGGTTTCACCCACCAAGAGGCCATGGCCACCTAGAGCTCATGAAGGGGAAAGTGGCCACCCGTCCTTGCGGACCGTACAGATATACGGGAATGTGCGCATCCACGCATGCGCGTGCCACACGCGGACACTGGCTGAGACCCGGAGAGGTAAGTACTCCCAGAACATAGGTTAAGAGCTCTCGTTGTAGAGACCATTGACGTCCATTTGATGGATGACCATGCTGAGCACAAAGAGCAGTGACTTTTCCACTACCTCACAGCTGCCCAGGACTTTTCCACTACCTCACAGCTGCCCAGGACTGTGCCCAGGGTACAGCTGTGCCCAAAGCTGAGAAGTCTTTTCAGGCCTGGGGAGTCCGTGACAGTGAAGCCCCAGCCTGTGGCCCAGCCGTGGCTCAAGGCAGCCACAGAGTGCTGCCCACACGTGGCAGGGGTCCCACTGGCATCTGGGGGCACCAGAGCGGATATGAAAGCACAGTGTGGGTAAGGGCCACAGGCTGGGAGCATGAAAGTGAAAGGGGAGCCCCCCCCCCCCCCGCCGCCGCAACCCTGATGGAGAGGATGACTGAGCAAGACAGCGGAGTGGGCCTTAGAGGACTCTACGATGATCTGGCCAGGGTTCGGTTCTCAGGCACAGCCGAAGACAGGTGTCCACCCACAGGGACTCCCTGCCCTATAAATCATACCCGCAGGTGGGAGAAGACTCTACCCAGAGACCCCTCACACCTCACAGCCTCAGGCCCTGACACATCCTTGATCCCAAATCCCCAGGGCACAGAGCAGGAGGCTGAGGCCCAGAGAGGGACAGGAGCCAAGGGCATATCACACAGCAGGGCCAGGGAAAGCCAGTCGCTAAACCCCCTGGGTCTCAAGGTCCCCACCTATTGAATGAAATAACCCACAAGCACAAGTGACAAACCGAGAGAACAAACATAGAAAGTATAAAGCTCTTTTCTTTTTTAAGTAGGCTCTATGCCCAAGGCGGGACTTGAACTCACGATCCCAAGATCAAGGAGTGCACGTCCTCCCGACTGAGCCAGTCAGTCGCCTCGAAAGTATAAAACTCTTGAACGGGATGCGGCTGGTGGCAGTTGTAGTGACTGGAACAATGGGTCTAGAGGGAAGAGCTGAAGTCACAAACCCCGAAAAGCGGCCCATCTTTCCCACGGACCCCTGGAAGCAAGCTCTGGCCAAATACCCAGAATCAAAGCTGGTGATTGTGACGGCGGGCCTCGCCAGAAATCTCATCTAGAAACCAAGGTCTGTGCTCTAGCCCCATCAGACTGCTCCCAGGGAGAGAGAGAGAGCTCCCCTGCTGATGGACAGACAGCAAGGCTGAGGCCCAGCCTGGCCAGTGACCTACAGACATGCCCCAAAGCACCAGCACCAATCGGGGCTCGGCTAGGGTGAGAGCAGGGCCTCTGGCTCCTTCTTCCCAGGCCTGCTTCTGATCTCATTCCAGAGCAGCCCAGTCCTCCGCCCCTCCCCCCACCCACCAGGGAGCATGCTCCTCGAGGAAAACAAACAGCCAGCTCCCTGGTGCCCCACGTTCAATCACCCGCCCCCTTGGCCAGACCCCGGACCTGGAAGGACAGATGGAAGGAAGCAGCAACCGGTGCCCTCGGGGCCTGGTACGGAGTGGCCCTGAGAGGGGAGCAGGCCTCATTTCCCCTTTGCTGGGGGGTGGGGGTGGGGCCGGGCCTGTCCCAGCACTGACTGAGCCTGAGCCCGCCTACCCCCTCCCCTCTGGAAAAGTGCAGCCACAGACCCAAAACCAGAAATGCAAGTCAGCCTGCCTCTGCCAATCCTGCCCCCGACTGAGGCCAAACCAAACAAAGCCAGGAGGGGAAGTGCCGCTGTCCCCAGAGGGCCTCCGCCCTGGGGCAGCTGAGAAAGCACCCAGGACCCAGGGGCTCTGAGAGTGCCCAGGCATCAGTGTTCAGATGTCAGCGGTGTCGCTTTCCAGCTGTGGGACTCTGGCCAGCCTCCCAACCTCTCGGTCCCCGTCCCCTCACCTGGAACAGGGCCATCCTATCACACCGGACTCACGGGGACCATTCTTGGTGCTCCCCACAGGGCCTGGCCCAGGCGGCGCGTTTGGTAACATGGTGGCTGTCATTAGTCCAGTCTTATTTCACAGATGGGGAAACTGAGGTCCCGGAAGCTAAGGGAGTTACCTAAGAAACTGGAGGCTGATTTCGTATCAGCACTCACGTCTCCTGGCCAAGGGTACCTCCTGTCTTCATGGGGCCCTTCCACACAATATGGTGGACCCAGGCGTCTAGAGGGAAGGTGGGGGCGAGGGGAGGTTGAGCTCTGCCGGAGGCCCCTCGCCTGGGCCACACACACACAGGGCAGGTACGGCAAGGGAGGGCCAGGCAGGGCTCTTTGGTTCTTCCCCGTGCTCCAGGATCAGGCTCTGTGAGTGCCCACACAGGTTTGGTCAGGCCAGTGTTCCTGGGCGAGCTGGGTTTGGGAGTGCCTTGGGGGGAGGGGGCTCCTGGAGCAAATACAGGAAACCTCAGAAATCTGGGGGGAGGGGTGGCCAGTGAAGAAATTAGGACAGGAAAAGAGATAAAGAAGAGAGCATGTCACAAGGGATGCCAGGCGTGGGACTGTCCTATGAGGAACAGAGTGATACACGCAGAGCCCTGCTATATCAAAACTGCTCTGGGCAGTGTGAGCTGGGGTTGGGGGTGGAGGAAGGACTGCAGGGACGCGCATGCGTCCTAACTTACAGTTCAGGCACGGGGGGAACCCCTGAAAGGACAGAAGGGCACAAGTCAGACACAGTAACTGCCCTCCGTTGAGCAGAAAAAAAAGAGGCTGGACAACTGATCGTAAGGCCTGCGGCGGATGTTCTGACGGAGGAGGTACAGGGAGCTAAAAGGCAACACCCCGTTAGACTGCTTTGCAACAGGTTGGGGTGATATGAACCCAGCCACAGGGCCCCAGAGAGATCCACCTGCTGGCCCAGGGCCTTGGGTCCAGAGTGCTCTGAGCAGCGGTCCCCTTCCTGTGGGGAGTCTGCACTTCTCTGGCTTGGCTGGCCCAGCGTTACTTCTGTGCATGTCTTACAGGCTAGAAGCACACAGGAAATGAGCCAGGCCCTCTACATGAAGCTGCTGTTTAGGAGCTAATCGAATTCTGCCCCCAGTCCAATCCAGGGCTCAGAAGAGTCCGGGAAGGGTGGGCAGGTGGGACTCCCAGAGCATCTCCTGGGCCCCGCCCTGCTGCTGGGGTTGGGGGTGGCAGTGAGCTGCTGGAAGTGACTTGCCCAATGTCACACAGCTACTAAGTGTGGAGCAGGTCTGCTGACCCCAGAGTCAATCTGCAGCTCTCACCCTGAGATGACTCATCACATCCACCACAGATGCTGGGCTCTGCATCTGCCCTCAAAAACCACTTCCGGCCCTGGAGGGAGGGCGGGGGGTGTGAACTGGGGTTTGTCTTTGTCTCTGGGTGGTCCTTACACAGCTAGGATTTTACAGATAGAGCACGGACAGAAAGCCAGAAGACCTGCGTTGGAATCCTCACTCCATCATCTGCTAGCTGTGTAACAGGCTGTCACTTCTGGGTTCCTCTGTGAAATGGGACACGAAGTGCGGACACTTCCCGCCACCGCCCCCCCCCCCCTTCCAGAGGGCTAAGGGGACCAAGTCTGAGAAAGGACAGGAAAGTGCTCTGCGAACTGGAACGTGGTTGGAGAAAGGGAAAGGCTATTAGAGTTCCTGCCCAGCACCTGATCTCAAGGCTTGACTTGCCAGATGGGGTTGCTCCTTCAAGTTTGGCACACTCTGGGTTCCTGAGCAGCTCCCTGGCTTCCAGGTCCCTGGCATGAGGCTGGCTTCCAGGAACCTCAGCTGCCTGGCCAACACTTCGCTCCCCCAGCCCAGCCTTCGTCCAGCGCCTCAGCCTGATTTCTTGACACCCGGAGGCTGGAGCCACCACCCTGCCTCTGCTTGCCAGCTCAGAGCCTCCAGGCTGTTCTCC